CGGACCCAAACTGGAACCTGGTTCCACAAAAGAGGACTCTGATAGCCAAACGCTCTAGCGCCCATTCTAGTTTTCAAGACTCTAGGAACTGCCAGTAACCCTTCATTCTGGGAGCGCAGTTCTCTGGTAGGGCAGTAAGGTACTAAAAGCTCTTTAAGATAAGATGGGGCCTGACCATGAAGAGCTTTATACGTAAGGAGAAGGATTTTAAATTCTATTCTGGATTTAACGGGAAGCCAGTGCAAAGAAGCCAAGACAGGAGAAATATGATATATATATATTATTAGGGTAATTAATTCAGGCCACCAGCCATGATAACATCAGTAACAGGTCAGTTTGAAACACTAACCTGTCAAAATTCAGTTAAATTTTGGGGTCTTTGTTTTTATCCTTGTGGTATCGAAAATGGTATCGAGTATCGAGTATTTTCCTAAGTATCGGTATCGAGTTGAAAATTTTAGTATCATGACAACCCTATTTACAACACGTTAAAAATTCTGTAAATCTACCAGTGTTTCAACTACAAACCTCTGGCAAGATGTTTCTAAGTGTGGAATGTCATTTTGTGCTCAGTAGGGCTTTAGAAAAGTCACCTGCAGAGAAAATCAAGTAGCCATCAGTAGCCTAACAGTGGCACACAAAAAAGTAATCTCTCTTTCTCAGCAAACAAGAGCACAATGCAGCAGAATGAACAGGAGTCTTTAAGACTTGTGTGTTTATTTTTAATATTAGGACAATCAACTGTGATTAAAATTGCCTCAGCCATAGTTTCAGTAAATGTGATTAGTATATGATCTCCCTTTCATTTTTTAAGGATGATATGGATGAACCAGACCTGGGGGATGCATCAGTGGTCGTCCTTACAACCATCAGTGACGATGCCACAAGTCCAGTTCACTACCACCCAGTGAGAGTCTCTGTTGTTCTACAGGGTGATGTGATTGTCAACCTTCCCAGGCTTGCTGATGCCTTCCTGGTAATGTTTGGCCTCATCTATGCACTACACCTCAGCTATCCTAAGGGACTGACCGACACTTTTGATTTAAATGAAACAATATTTGAAAGACAACAGTAAACAAAATTAAGAATTAAATAGAATTAAATAAAGAAACGACACACTTTTGGCCATCTGTAAAACCGCAGTGCAGCAATGTATAACAAATTGCTTATAAGTTCTTCACAACCAAAACTGCTAAAATTTCAAAACTGTACAAAGGCAGTGTGTCGCCTTCCTTTGGCTATCTGTTTTAAATCTAGCAACCTCAAGCTAGATAAACAATATAATATATAATAATAGTGTATAATCACTTCATACAGCCCTGCATTAGTTAACAACAATATAATTGAAGTAGTACAGACAGTGTCTACTTTATGCCATTTGGCTGAAAACCAGCTGAGTAGAGCAGCGACTCCAACATTAACATTAAACAATAGTCAACATGGACCTGGCCATTGTGGACTAGGCCCTAACAGTGTGAGCTATCAGAATCCACCCCTCCTTTTTGGATCTTGAGTTACACATATAACATCAGGTCATTTTTAAGAGTCTGCAGCTTGGGTGATAGTTTAGAGTCATCAAGACCAAGCAAGATTTTCTGTGTGAACTCAAAAGTGTCGGTCAGTCCCTTAGGATGGCTGAGGTGTAGTGCATAGATGAGGCCAAACATTACCAGGAAGGCATCAGCAAGCCTGGGAAGGTTGACAATCACATCACCCTGTAGAACAACAGAGACTCTCACTGGGTGGTAGTGAACTGGACTTGTGGCATCATCACTGATAGTTGTAAGAAGGACCACTGATTAGAGGATGACACGGGAGTGGATTTTCACTCCTGTCCCGTCCCACTCCCATAGAAAGACATCTTGTCCCGTCCCACTCCCAGACCAAAGTTTAAAAAATAATCCCATCCCATGGGACGTTTATGTGACCTTATCTGGCGTAAGCGTAAGCTGGCGTAAGCGTAGCGGTAAGCGTATCGACCCATTTCCGTTTCCGGTGTTAGCGGTGTTTGTGTGGTGGTAGCGCTTTTTTC